TTTTTATTATAGCGATGATATTAATTGTTCTTTTTCTTTTTCTGTTTCAGAACATCATTGCAATCGAGCGCGTAGGCAATGAGGTACTCGTGTGTGTTGCATCGTTAAAATTAAATATAAAAAAGTCGGAAAGTAGAATCAGTGTTGATCGTCGCATGTTAAAAAAGTTTCGTTTGCTCGTGTAAAGAAACTCCATAAGTTTCTTTTAATCGGTTTAAATGTGTGCCCATCGTCATCCTAAGGGTAGGAGACCCATCATGCATTCATCAATGAAGACTCGAAGTAAGTATATTTTTGTATTAAACATTTTTACAATTCTTTTAATATTCGTTTGTTATAAAAGCGATATTAATAGTTCTGTTTTTTTCTTCTGTTTCAGATGACTATTGCAAACGTGCGCGAAGCAATATACGGGAGTGTTGTTATATCGTTTAAATATATAATTAAAATCATGGATTATAGAAGCACGTTCGTTCGTTAATTGCAATTCGTTCGTGTTACGCGATTGTATTAAAAATTTTTTATATTAAATTGACTGAAAACAAAGCAGTCATTGTAGTAGAATTTGTACGATCAAAGTTGTATTTTTATTTTTGAACAGTCGCATAGACTGTTCGCGTATTAGAGTCAGTGCATCAATGAAGATTTTGATACTTGCATTGACTGTGTGCAAAGCAGTCTTTGGAWRCARTTGTAGAGTCAGTGATCGGGCGCATAATAAATTAAAATTAAATGCGAGTTAGATTCAGTGTTGTTCGTCGTATAATTTAATTTCGGTTTCGCGATAAGAAACTCATCTATAGTTTCTTATTTTCGTCTATACCGTGTCATTAGATTCACGCGAGGTGCATCGCCATGGTGCAATTGAGCTTCATCCCATTGGAATGCATTGTAAGTATTCATTTTTATTAGCATTTTATTCGTTTTTGTTTGATATGATTTTGGATCATATTACATATAACTTATCATTTTGTTCTATTTTATTTTACAGATATGACAACGGACTTTCTACCTTAAAGATGCGGGATGAATTCTTCGATGGATCTTCGATGGATCTTTGATGTATCTTCGATAGAAATTCTTAAATACTTGCTGCAAAATAGGAGTGTTTTGGAGCCATCGTAGAACTTCTTACGGAGTGAGTCAAAAAATTTAAAGTCCCTCCRGTGCTCAATCATGTCGAGGATGAAAGGTCCTAATCGGCACGAGTTACTGGTTGTAATTAATTAAATAAATTAATGACGAGCACATGAGTAATTTCTTTTTAGGAATTACTCATGAAAATTGTATATTATAATGTATATTGTATTGTATGTTTTATGATATTAGTTCAGGATAGGTTTTCTTGTCTCATCGGTTAAATTCATTTAATTAAGAATGCAATTAATTAATGCACTTTCTTTTTTATTACATATTTTGTTCGTGACTAGTAGTGGTGAAAACGAGCATTAATTTACTCGATTTCGTCCAGAAAAACATGTAATAAATATCTTACATGCATTGATTTGTATTTAGTTTATTTAATCGCGATTAATTTGAATATATCTATACTTCGATATTATAAATAAATGAGCAAGAAAACAAACCCATTCGCGACGGATAGATTCTAGCAGTTAAGTGGTGGCTCAAAGCCCAGTTCTTTTATTAGAACAGCCAACTTAATGAAAGGAGTCGTCCGAGGTTTTAAAATATATTAAATGATATTAAAAGATATTAAAAGATAGTTATTTTTTATCAAATAAATTATAGAGTCCTTAGCCGCTTAGATAAATTTTTATAAAAATGTATTTATGTATTTATCTGTTGTATATTTATGTGTTTCTAATTATATTTTTTAGATCAGGATTTTCAGCTTCTAATATATTAATCTCCCGTTTCTCCCCCCTATACTTTCTGCGTTCTCATCTATGCGTGTGCCCAGGTGCAACTCGTATGGGTGAGAAACTGTTAGTATAGGTTTAATTTTAAGTTTTTCCCATATTGGCGGCTGTCATTGTGCTAGTGATTGCACGATGTACTTTACACCTGTATGTGCGTATTAGGTAGTGTGTACTGTACATCGTCTCGTGATAGATTTTAATTAATGCATTATTTACCACTTAGAATATTACTAAGTATAGCACACCTAGAGTTAGGTGTGATATAAAAAATACACATGGTTGTATTTTTCTATCTATATTAAATTTTTCTCATTTTTTTTTTTCTTCGAATCGTTTTGAATAGTAGAGTTTACCGCATTTATTTGTGGCAACTTTAATATACTCGTATATTACTAGTATGCATATATACTAGTGTATACTTGTATTTTTATTTTAGACTTTTATGCAATAATCACTAGCCTTGGCAGACGATTACAGCATTGGTACGTACTCCCATAAGTTTAGAAAACGTGATTGAACTAGGGTGTCGGAGGTGCCCCGGGGCATGCTCTCTAGTTTAGGTTTTTGCACCCTGGTGGTATGTGAGAGAATCGTGGAGTGAGTGGGTGGGTACGTATGTGTATTTGTTCTTTTTAAATATGGATAATTGGCGGGCAGGTAACATACTTCTCTGAGCGAATGTGAAAACTTTAATTTTAAGTAGGTAGGATCTAGGAAAGGCGTGAGGTTTTGTTACCACTCCGGAGTGGAAATTTCGCCTCCTGGTTTACACAGAATTGTTACAAAAATTTTGTTTTTTTTTTTATTCATTCTATTATGCTTGCTTTGTACATTTATTTTGTGACTCTTCTGTAATCTTTAATATGTATCATGAGATTCAAAGGAATTTGCAACGTTTTGAAAGATTTATTTCTATTTCGATTCTATCTCGAACGAGATAGAGTCGAACAAATTCGCAAATACTTTGATCGATTTGATACTTAGTTTTAAGTATTAGCACTTTGCACAATCGCGATTTCCTCAATTAGAAATATAACGAATGAATGAAATTAAAATATTGCAAGAAAATGCATAACATTTATTGCATTATTTATTTCAATTCTATTTTATTACTTGAAATTAAAAGTGCGATGTGTTATTAGGTCATTGATAATTATCTGCTTGGACATTTGTTTAATTGTGCTCGTGGATATGTCAATGAACTCTAAGTTCATTGATGGTCCACGAGCTTGAATAACTAAAAGGGAAAATGTAAATTAATTTTGTAATAATCAAGAATTAGAATTATCAAAGAAAATACGAGTGAACTTGCAATAAAAGTATGCGAGATCTTATCTTGCTCAGCACGTAGAAAATATGTCCAATGCAGTTTTCAGGGATGAAGAAAGAAG